AAAAAAAAAGGAGTTGGCAAATGTGAGAAAGAATTTAATTTCAAACTTTTGTTGACAATGTAATAAATGTTCATGGCCTTAAACTACTGTGTCCGCTTTTTGATTTTTTTTTTCTAGACTTTGGTAAACATAAAGTGAGAAATGTCTTTTTTTTTTTTTTTTTTCAATTTTGCTTCCTTGTTTTGCTATTCATTTTTTTACTGATAGTAGAAAAAAGGATAAAAATAAAAATTAGGGCATAAGTGGAGCAGCTTTCTCCATCATGTGAAAAAATTATACTTTATTACAACCACTATTGTTACAATGATTATTTGAAACTTAGCATCTTCTGTCATTTTTTTAAAGCTTCTAATTTTGTTGGAAAAAATAAAAAAATAGACTCTCCAAATGAGGTCTAACTTTAGCCAATTTTTTTTCAGATATAATGTTTGAAGCAATGGTGAGCATTAGATAAATTTAAAGGGAGAAGTTTTGGACCCCTCACCCCTGACAAACAGTAGAACATTACTGTAAAATCTATTGTTTCAAAGATCTGTTCTACTCTATTCCTCCTCTTATAGCTATGTATTCGCTATTTTGCCACCACTTTTATTAAAATGTCACCCTGCACTTTGCAAAATGGTTTTACTTAACCTCGGATTTAGTCTTTTTTCACAGTAAATAACCCTAAGTAACAGAAACTTCCCAAATCACTGCATCTGTAGTGGAATACAGTGACTGTCTGAACAATTTTTGAATTCTCAGCATGACACTGTGGATGCCCAGTCTCTCTGTTTCAAATTTCCTCTCCCTTGAAAAATATCTGCTTCTTAACCCATTGGATTACATTATTTCTCAGGGCTATAAGAGAGCTGTAAACTGATCTAGGCCCATCTTTACAAATAGTATTATATTATAACAGGGTTTCTCTCTAATTATTGAGAAGTGCTCTCTTTGTTCATGATAATGGAAAACACTTCACAAGGTTAGAGAAAGCTCACACCCCAAAGTGCATGGAGCCAAACCATAAATACAGGTAGGGAAGAAAGCTTTTTAACCTAATGATCTAATTGAGTAGGTTTTATGTTTCTAGTAAACAGTAACATTATATTAAAAAATATCGTACAGAGTCTATGTATTCAGACTATTTTTCTTCCTTGCAAAGAGATGAAGTGGACAAGTAAAAGCCTTTGCTCTCTGGAGGTGCCAAGGAGGGGCATGGGCAATACAGTAAAGCTGAACAATTGTAAGATTTCATCTCGCTGGAGCAGGCCACTATACAAATAGCCTGTACAGTGAAAGATAGTGTCTGCGCTCCACTCAGACTCCCTTGTCTAATAGAACAAGATAAATCCATGTAGGGTACCTGCTGGTAGGTATCTGAACAAGGCTTTACAAGGCTCTGCCATGCTAAGTAACAGCAGACCATAGACTTAATGATTGTGTGCCTTAACTTACCATATTTGCTGTTTGAAATCTGAATTTCTTTTTATTAGTTGAATAATTGACACTGTATATGAAACAATATATGTTGACAAGCATATATGCTTGTGGATATTTAATGATCAAACTAAGCTATTTCCAGCTATTTCCTTTGCATCTCCTGCCTTGTACAGTGGCTGCAGTTCCTGTATTGCATTTTTGGTGATGAACCAGACAAAAGTGTTTTACAGGCAGGTAACTAGCAAGTCACTTTTCTGAGTAGTGCTTAAAATCTTAAGTAAAGTCTTTACACAGTAACATCATGGGGGGGGTGGGTGCTTTTGCTGGCTTTCTTTTTCTTCTTTACTTTGTATTTTTGAAAAATTTCAGAATATTTTACATGAAATAAAATTTTGGATATGTTAAGTTGAGGTTTCATGGAGGACTTCAGGGTGGTTGCTTTTTTGATTGGCCTTAATAAACTTTATGCTTCAATAGTCAAAAGCCTGCCTAAATGAGGTGTTAAAGTTCCACTGAAGTGGAACTAATAACTATTATACTATTACACTTTAAGAAAAAAACAGCCACATGCTGTTAAGCAGAATGGACAAACAATTTTATCTTCTAATTTTTCATTCATGCATATTACATAACCCTGTATTTGTTGTAAGTATTTTTATTATCTTGAAAAAATTAAGACCTCAGTTGACAATGAGAAAACTTGACAAAAATAAAAGCAGATATTTTGAACGTTTTTTTAGACCATCAGGCTTATCCTTCTGTTTTAATGACATTGGAAAAGTGTCTTGAAGCACTTAGCGCAAGTCCATGGTGGTTCCTTTGCCTTTAAACAGCAATTTGTTCCCTTCTAGTTTCATCTTCAATTATAGAACCCCACAAGTCCACTAGGTCACAGTGATACAATGCAAGGTATGGACAAGTTACATTACATCTAAGCATAAAGCAACTCTAATGCATTCTATAAAACCAGCTGTTGACATGACAACCTCATGTAATTTAGGGGACACACTTCTTTTGTTATAAACTGTCAAGAAAGAAGAACACACCAAGAAAGTTAGAATTGGACTGGCACTTTTGGTTTGTTGAGTTTTTTTTTGTTTTGGCTCCTTTTGGGTTTTGTTTGTTTGGTTGGTTGGTTTTTGTTTTGGTTGCTTTTGGTTTTTGTTTTGTTTGCTTTTTCGTTTTTTTTTTTCTTGTTATTTTTTTTCCCACAGTAGAACACTAAGAAATACAATACAGTTTAAGAATCAGTTTGCCATCATCCTTCTTTCTATCATAATTTCACTTCTGTGCTTTGGCCTTTTGCCTTCTTCTGTGACATGTTAACTGAAGCCAAAATTTATTAACTAGAGTTGTATATAAATGAATAAATCATCAGCCTACCCTTAAACACAACTTCATTCTGATTTGTCTTTGAAGGAAGTAAGATGAGTTTAACAACATTCTGTCCTCACATATCCCAGAAGTATACAATTTTTTTCTGGAAATAGTTAAATCCATAATAGTGAAATTAAAGGAATTAGGTAGATCATTGGAAGATGAGCATGTATAGAGATGCTTATTTAGAGACAGTCTAGGTTTCTTCCTGTGGTTACCATATTCTTAGTTTCTCTTTCACTTCTCTGTCTCTACACATTTCTCACTTGGAAACTGGAGTATGAAGATATTGCATCCTATACAGCCGAGAGAGCATAGGATGAATGTGTATTGAAACCATTCATAATTATATACCCCTTTTTTTCCATAACAGGTGATACTATGAAAAATCTGCCAATGTTTCATTTAGAAGCCAAAATACGCAGCTGAATCGGGATCTCCCATTTGTGTGTCTTCAATTGCATTTACCTTCAGACTGTGCTGGAAGCTATAACATCTAAGGTGGACAAGTCTCAGAAGTATTATCTTCCTCACTCACTGTAGGTGATAAGTGACTTTTTTAATTTAAAAAAAAAAGAAATGTAAGGTGATCTAAAAAAATTTCATCATCGATATCCATAAGTTTTCCTGAAGAAATATGTTTGCAGTGTTTATGTTCACTTTTTTTACCTAACTGCTTGTAAAAGATGACCCATGCTTCAAGTCACAAAAGGAGGGTTTTCAAGACTTTTTGTAGTAAAAGAATGGCAACATGATTTTTTAACAGGCAAGACCATATTTATGAAATTCCTCTCTTCTTCCCTGCTTATTTTTAAGTCTTGATTGAGCACTGCCTTAAGATAAATTCTTCAATCATTGAATAAAAGTTTATATTATCTCTTGAATTATTCAATCAATATATTCCACTATCTATAAAATTAGTGAATCAGCAAAATATTTGTCAGTCTATTCAACCATAAAGTATTTTTATTCTAATTTTAAGTAATATGCAAGAAATTTTCTTCCATTTTGAAAGATGTTATACAGATGAAAGGAACCTTCTATGTAAATTTTTTAAGAAAAGAAGGTATGTGCTTGAGTATTGAACAGTTCCTTTTAATCTTAAAATTGCTTAGGGTACTCATACTTCTCTGTTCTAATGCAATCAATTTGAATAAAAATGATTTACTCTATCGAAGTAGAACTCTAAGTAAAACTTGCTAACCTGCAGAAATGCATTTAATTGGCGCAAGCTGTGCTGTAAACCTTCATCCAAATTTTTGAGCAGCAGTTCAATTAGAGTTCATTGTAAGTTGAAAACTGTTATAAATATGGTTTAGGATAAGGACTGAAAAATACCAGTTATAAAATATAGAAACTATATGATCGTTTTATAGATAATAATAAAGGTGTGATTTGGAATTTGTTTTTTCTCCTCATGCATGGACTCAGCATGTGAGATTTTCTCTTCAGGGAATTTTGGCACAAACTGGAGAAATCTGTGAAAAGTCCTGCATATACATGGGTCAGATTTTTTTTGTATAGTATTATTAATGAACATTTATGATAGTCAGCTGAATCTTCATGCCCTATATGCTTTTACTCTATTAGGTTAAAGAAAAATAAAATCTTACCTTTGCTACAGCAAGACCTGAATCAAGACCCAGGTTTTCTTTAGTCAACTGCCTCTAGTTGGCATTTGATCCAGACTTAGTTAACCATGCCACATGCCAGTAACAGGTTCCTGCATCTCTCAAGTTAGTACATATCTTTATTAGCCCAATGCCTGTGTCTGCATAGGTATATTTAAAGACAAGGGCACTTTATTTGGTTCCAGCATTAAGCCTCCATTTTCTTTGGGAAGTACTGTAGACATATATACATGTACTACTCATCCTGAGCTCAAGAAGTATTTTGTTTCACTTGTGTATTATATAGCCTTAAAAAATGGGGGGGTTTTTTGGAGAATGCAGTTTAGAAATTATTCATGTTTTTATGAATATAGATACTTCTGACTAATAAAGTCAGGAGGAACTGTGAGCTGCTTCATCCTCTCGCTGCATGCTTCATTGCTTTTCTTATAAAGTGAGAATAAAGATTTCCTACCTTGATTTTCATAAGACTCTCACAGAGCTGAATGCTTGTAATACTGTACTATTCCAGACACTGTGGTGATAAGGTCCACGTACTGGACCCTTCTCTCAACTCAAGACTACCAATACCAGAACCACAGACCTTGTTTACTTTGCTTGGAGGCTTACCTGCTGCAGTAAATCCCAGTCTGGGATTAACTAGCCACTGGAAATATGCATGCTAATGATCCCACTCAGCCTGATTTATTCTTAGTGAGACACTAAAGTGGGCACACTGGGTTGGAGTGAGCACACAAGCCAAATTTCTGCAGGTTGGGCATAGCCAAGGAGTCCTAGAAGGAAGAGGACTAGCTCATACTCAGCCCTGCAACAGCACAGGCACAAGAAAGGCACATATAGTTCCAGATAAATTTTAACTTATCCAGTTTAATATTGCTGATGATGTCCTCAGCAGTTCTCTCCCCAGTTATTCTTTGGTCAACTGAATGGGTCTGTAAACAGAAAATAACAACTTGTGAAAGTGACATGCATTTGTCTGCTAGTCACCAGCTCTGCTCATGTGAGTTTCAAAAGCCTTGTCTGACCAGTCCTGACATATGGAACTGCTCAGGGATGAATCATGAAAGAAACATATGGATTAAACATTTATGGCATTAAGATTCTTACTGAAGCAGAAGGTGGCCTGTGTAGGCCTATAGGGATGATTCAGAGTCACCCCTGCATTTTCTTGAGGGTGAGAGGACACTTCATTCCGTTTAATGTCATATTTGCAAACTCGCCTCTGCTTTTATATCTGTTTAAAAAGTTCATGATAAGATTGCTTGGAGAAAAGCAGCATGACTTGGTAATTAAGGTGCAGGATTAGCCTGTGTAGCTGATGGCATTCCTTCAAACCACACTGATCAAACCTCACGTCTTTCCAGATGCAGAACTACCAAAGCAATTTTATGCACAGCAAGGCTACAGATTTATGTACCTTCCCCGAGCTGTATTCTTATTGCTGAAGTCATCCAGTCTCTAGCTGTTGAATTTTTTCAAAAAGCCTGCTCAATATCTGACATTTAAAAAAAGAAAAGAAAAAATTATGCAGAAAACAACTTCAGGACTCTGCCTTCTGCTGAGGATGCTGAAATCTGCCAAGTTAAACCAAAGAAAACTCTCATAATTAAGGCCAGTGCTTTTTTACACCATAAGCAATCTTCAAATCCCACTTGTTCCTGCTGTAATGGAACTAGCTGAAACAAGAAAAAGGCAGTGATGAATAAATACACTGTCTGCACTGCTGGTCCACCCATCTACTCCCGCCTTTCCAGCTGCTGGGGGATGAGGAAGAAATGGCAGGCCCTGTGAGAGTGGTTTTCAAGTGGTCCTGAACTGGAACTTTTATTTCTGCTCAAACTAAGAAGCTTTTGACAAGGCAGCTATAGGCATCTGTCATTTTTTGTAGCAAGAATGCATGAATTTGAAAGGTATTTCCTTTCACGTTTGAGGAAAATCACAAAAGGCAATCTGGTATAACAGATGTATTACTAATAGGAATAAAACACACATGGCTAATTCTTCCCTAGAAATTTCTTTGATATTGTATATACATATGTGTGTATATAAGTTATATATTGTTCATACTGTATCTGAATATATGCATTTAATTCAAATGTACTATTCATAATTCAGGCACATAATGCGATGTACATTCACTATGCGGTGATAAATACATATATATCACATACTTGTGTGGTAATCACAATCATTTTAATTTACCTTACATTTTTCTTTCAGACTCTTTCTTGTTGATTTCAGTTGCAGTCATGCTATTTCTTCTAACAACAAAAAAATTCTCTGAAAATTTAAGGATCATAAAGTAAGTAAAAATTCAGAATAAATTTTAGTTAACTTATTTTTCTGGAAAAACAAAAAGAAGGAGTTTTTTATAATTCATTGACTTTATAGTGGTTTTGGTAAGATTTGGTTTTAATATTATAAGTTTGGGGCTTTTGGCTTTTTCTGGGTGTTGTGAGGTTTTTTGTTCGTTGTGGTTTTTGTTCGGTTGGTTTTTTTTTTGTTTTCTGCTTTGTTTGTTTGTTGCGAGGGTTGTTAGTTTGTTTTGGGTTTTGGAGGGTTTGTTTGGTTTTTTGTTTGGGGCGGGGGGGGGGGTTATAGGTAAGTAAAAACTTACTACCATATTATTTTGGCTGTATGTAACAAATTGTTTATCTCAGTTTTTACAGTTTCTCAAAAATCCATTTTTTCAAGCACAGTTTCCAAAGCATTAATCCCAACCTTGAACTGAGCTACATATATGTATAGGAACTGTTAAATTCCCTCCAGAGATCTTTCAATCTTAGCCTTTGTGTTAGGCAACAAATGCTTAGATCACATAGACATGGATTACTATAAAGTGTGAACACATAATTATTTTGAAGGTGTGATTGTAGAAATGGCAAATTATTTTATAACAATTTTTTCATGTCTCTATCTCCTGTCCATGGATAGATGCTGTAAAAGAGATTTTTACTTACATAGATGAGAAAATCCTTGTGGTTTAAGTAAAGCTGGACTTCATTTGCCTAGATGAATTAATACTATCCTGTCTAGGAAGACTAAAGCAGTGAATTATGCCTAGTCTTGGGCTGAGGGAGGTAATCTAGGAAAGGGAGCTATTTCTAAAGAGAGGGAACACAAAAAGAGTGGAGGGGACAGAAATATCTTCCTAACTATAGTCCTCCAAACATACTCAACAGTTTTTTTCTGTCACAACTTCTTAGTCTCTTCAAACTCTCCAAGCAGAGCCCACCAGAAAGTTGCTATAATAGTTCATGGTCAAAGAGATGATGGATACATCTATCAAATAGAAGCAGCCTGAGATACAATTTATGTATGTTTGCCTTCAGCCCAGATGGGAAAGAAAGAAATTACCTTGCCTTTGTTCCATCATCCCTTTTCACACGCCTCTAAGCATTGGCCACCTTGAACTTGGGCACTGAAACCATCAAGGGACCATAGCCATCAGGAACATCAGCTCCATCATATTGTGCACTCAAAGGTAATTAAGAATAAGCTTCTTTAAACCTATTTGTTTGAATATACAGAAAGATAATTTATAGTGAATAAGAACTAATTTTTAGCAATGTATATGGCCAGTCTCTTCGCGAATGAAGGACTGGGGAAGGTCTTTCCACCTTCCAGCCTGCACACTGGATTTTTTAGGTGAGACACAGCGTGCGCGGAACTGAGCCCACCCTTTAATCCTGAGGTTCATCTGCTGGGGCCAAGCATGCTTGGACGGTGGCAGTGAGGTCCTCAGGACGTAGATGTATTGCCTTATGGGCTAACGAGCTCCATCTGCCCAGGGAGGGGTTTTAGCAATGTGGATTGCCAATGAATGCCAATCTAGTAAAGTATTGTTTCCAAATTTGAAACAGGCCAAAGTTTTGTCTTTTTAACACTCTTATCACAGTGGTTTCTAAACCTCCTTAAAGACATGTATGTATTTCCATATATATACATATATATATATATGTATAAACAGTTGCAATAAGTTGAAGACAACTGTGTTTATGAATCATGTTAGTAAATATTGCTGAGAAACAGCTTATTGTGTTAACGATGTAGCTTCTGGTTAACTGGGAATACACACAAAGTGTGTAGGTCTGCTTGTGTAAAACTGCAAAGATACACTGTGGGAATGGTGCATTTTCCAAGGCAGTATGCCTCCAATCTCTAACAGATCAAAAGAGTACTGATGTGATGCAAATCTCTGTACACCAACAAAAATGTTATAAATAAGCAATATGATTTAAATATAACTTGTGGATTCACTTTGTCTGAATAAGATGTTGGACTGGAAAATCTCAAAAGAAGCAAAGCCAAAAGAACTCTACCAAACCACAGTTTTTTAACATGGCTTGTTCTTTAGTTAGGTTCATCCTTCCAAACAGAGAAAAAATAAATATTTTCGAAATACAGAAAATAACAATATTGTGGAGTCAAAGTAACCATTCATAACTTAAATAAGCTTTTTTGCACACACATAACTTTTTAATGGCTGTATTTCTTTTGAGTTTGCACCTTTTGTTTTAGAAACAAGAACATGAGCTATTAGAGGTCTTCTTGGGAAACAGCTTCTTCTACACTCCTTACATGTTGTCTAATTTACAGAAATAATTTAACTATATTACTATTGGTCATATAATGATCTCTGTAGTGCAAAATATTTTTTCCAACAGTTAATGTAATGGCAGATCATTTTATAATGTTACTGAGTTCTCAAAGCTGTAGTAAATGAAAAATAAAAAAAACCTTTTCAAGTATCTAGGAAAATGCAGCTTAGCTTCGATGGTCTGTAGTTTTCTCTGTAAACAAGCAAGCAGCAATCTCTTAATGATCACAGTTAACAAAGTTTGTTTGGAACAAAATAAAAAAGAAATAGGAATGAAACATTTTAAACAATAAATTTATTAATGTAGTCAACAAGTCTTTTATGAAAAGTTTTACTTAAGTATAGTTTGAAAGAAAGGAAAATTGTGGTGTTGATTGAAAACAGACAGTTCAAAGCTCTTAATATACAATTAACCAATTAAATCTGATTTACCTGGAAAATGCTCTTGTATAAAATCAGTGTGACTGTGCCCACACAATCATGGCATTCCTTCTGAGATTTTAGTTACTGACTAGTTATCAGATATTTAAAATTAAATGATTGCGCTATAGATGTTGGCACAAACAATGTAAGTTTATACTACAATATAGAACTATATAAACCTTTTAGTTATACAAATTTACAAGCCTCATTACTTTGTAAAAGAATCTTATATCTCATTTATTTTTCTTTCATTTATTTTTCTCTCTAAATAAGGAGAGAAAATTGCTTTAATTCCAGATAGATCAAAAAGGTATCTGTAGTAGTGTCAAGAAGTTTCCGAGTTGTGAAGCTGTTCTTGTGCTTTTCCCTATGTATCCATCCCTAACCAATTGCTGCACATCGGACACTGGGACAGGTGAGTCTTTGTTATGACTCTTCTACTGCTCTTTGACAGCTAGTATCTCCTGACTTGCACATAATTAGTCTCATATTCTATGTTTTTCAGTACATTTGCTTTTTTTTTTCTTTTTTTTTTAAATAGAGGCTATTTTATGACTGACAAAGTATTCACTTTAGGAAATGTGATCATATCGATAAGAATATGCTTCCTCTGAGTGTGTTAGGCGTTTCCACTAATATGAACAGTCCTGTCAGAACATGAAGCATTTACAGCATTGTCAAAGTGTTACAGGCTAGCCACGTAAGCTCAACTTGTTTATGAAATCCAAGTCTTAATTTGGTTCTCTATAGATAAAAAGAATAAAAACTGTCAAGCATATGTTTATCCTGGTGTATTATCACTCTTCTTGAACAAAATACAAAAATTTGATTCTCCTTCCAGAAGGTCAACAATAATTGCAGTTGTACACCATGCTGTTCTGATGCTCTTCTGCAATTATAAATGAAAATTTATGTTCTTCGAGTGGTATAATCATAAAAAGTCACTACCTCGCATAACAATAATAAAATAATGGATGAGGTTATAAAACTAGGAGTATGCTAAACATAGTGAATTAATTTTTGGTTTGTTGGCTGTAAAAAAGTCTCTGTGAATCTTTCAATAAATATTACCTCTATTTATAAAAAAAAATTAAAGAACTGGTGTAAATAACTTTTTTTTTAGAAATATTTTCACATGGCAGTCTATTTGGTTGCATGTTACATTGACTTTCATGTCTAAGATGGAAAGAAAAATATAACCATAAGGAGAACTAAACTATTAGAGCTAAGTAATCCAAGGGCACATAGCCAGACATCAAGAACTGTATATACATAATGCGGTTTGTATGAATCCCTGAACACATTTTTCATCATTAAATGAGCACTTTTATATGAAAAAATGCAAATAAACTACATGATGTTACTTCGATTCTCTCTCCAGCTACTTGTTATATTGAGCAATGGGGGTGACAGAGACATGTTGAACAATACCCTTAGTCTCATGTTTAAAGTAATCTTACATTCTTTTTCAAACTGTTACAACTGAACTGAAAAAATAATCTAAGTGCCTAATCTCAGACCATGGGAACTTGTGTGTTTTCTGAATTCAGTGTTTTCTGAAATATTGTTACTGAAGTTAACCAGCTTATTTTACAAGCAAATTCAGTTACAGTTAGTGAGGGTACCTGACAACATTCAGCTTACTCCAGAATGCACGTCAATTCACAGCACTTGGTGTTATAACAAACTGCTGTTTTGATTGTGCATATTTCTTACTCAGTAGTAGTAATAGTGAAATTTGGATTCTTACTGAATTTTTTTTAACATAGTTGACTGATTTTTGGCAATGGAATTGAGTAAAACAGGCTCCATAAATTTGGCTAGGGTGGCCTTGGAAAGAAACTGGCTGCTGATCTGTTTTCTGTATTTCCTCCTATTTTCAGGATTCAGATTATTATTTTTTTCCTGTGCATATCTCAAGGAAAATCCATTTATATCATAAACACTCTGATTCCATTGTGAAGAAAACCAAACTTTAAATATTTTTGCCTTGTATAGGTAAGAGATGAATGAAAAGTGAGGTATTATCAACTGTTTATACCCTGTTTTTAATTTATTATCACAGAGTAGATATAATAAAATACTCTGGAATTAAAAGCCTAATACTTCACTGTTACTTTTTGTAACAAATTAGCTGTTATTTTACAAAGATGGTGGTACACCCCAAGGCCATAACTGAAGATCAATGGTAAAGAGCTAGTCTCTTCTTTGAAAAGTTTAACATCTGAATACAATTTTTAGAGAGGCAGAATTCTAACTGATATAGAGATGCCTTCTTCCAGTCTTCTGGCTTCCCTAGAAGGACATAACTCAACTAGGGCCCTGAAACAAACTTATTCCCACATAAATTCTTCCTTTCTCTTCTTTGGACCATCCAGTTCAAATTTATCAGAGATGAGGTATGATTTGCAACAAGAGGGATAGAAAGGTAGAATGAGTCTGAAGGTCTGGGAGAGTGTCTGAGATCTGGGGCTCTTATTATTGAGACCCTAAGAAGGACAATCTTTGTATGTTGGGAGGAAGGTAAAAGCTTGGAGTTAGTGCTCTCTCTTGATGCAGAAACATATACATCATCAAGTATCTTGGAAAAGAAATATGGTTTTTCTTTCTTACTTCAAAAAACATGGACCTGAAACCCTAAAATATCTGTCAGAAGCAAAATTAGAGGCAAAACCTAAGCCTCCCTTATAATACTCAAAAGTTAGTAGCCTTGGGCTGCTCAGCAGATAATCCATTCCTGTTAGGACAGATTTACTTCTTAGCAGGAAGGGAATAAATAGGAATCCTGAAGGCTCAGACCTTCTTGAGGAACTTCTCCCCAGCCCTGCAAAACCACAGAGAATGTCTGCCTTCCCCTCTGGCACGCTGTTTGAGGGAAAGCTGTCAGTCCATGCCCCAGCTTGTTCTAAGGACAGAGAGGATAGGGAATCCCTACAGCATGGAAACTCAGCAGGCCTGGCTCACCATGACATTGCAGTGTGCATACACAGCACACTGTAGTGACAGTCACCTAATGTGTGACTTTATCTTCAAAAACTTCCAAACAGGTTAAATTAACCCTACACATATTACAAAAAAAGCAAAACTGTGATCAAACAACATTCAATCAGCCCTTCTACTGCCACAACAGAGGCTGGGTTCTTCTCTTTCTTTCTGTCACTGTTCCTTGATGTAGTTAGGGCAGGATCTGCTTTTGAAACCACTCCGTGTTTCCTGCTGTCAGGGGCCTGATGGCACTAATTATTTTGCCTCCAGGGGTCTGGTTGCTTGGAATGAAAGCCAGCTCTAAGGTGATTCAGCAGGGACCTG